GACGCACATCGGCATGGCCATCCAGGCAGGTACGCGAGGAAAAACAATGCAGTGATTCTGCCAAGAAGACATTTAGAAAAGAATTTACTACAAGGGGGATAAATGAACTTAATTTTCTGTGCTTTAATCAGACATCCCAAGACTGCCATGATTTATATCACTGCTGCTGACAGGGAAAAGTGAAAAAAAGTTTTATTATTTGTGCTGTCAACAGGTACACAGAGAGAAATAGGTATGTATCTGGGCAGACAAGGGTCAATTTTGCGTTTATATAAAGGAACAGAAGTGATCATATTGAAAGTTAATGTTATATTATTTTGTAAATATGAGAATAGCTGTAAAAGGCACAATTATTATTTACAATTCAAATGGTCAGAGTAAGAGATTATCTTACTATCTTATTATCAGACTATCTTATTATCAGACTATCTTATTATCTTACTATCTTATTATCTTACTATCTTATTATCAGACTATCAAGTAAGAGATTAATCTGCTTCTCGATATGCAGTATTTTTTGAGTTACAAAATGGTTGAATTTTGGAGCAAGTGAATGATTTGTGCCCATTTTTCTCCATGCCTACAGATATCATTGTTGCCTCCAAGTTGGGATTCCAGCTGAAGTCCCACTGAATTTGAGATATGGTGAAATAAGGGACAATTGCATTATTCTGTTATCAGTACCCTATTCTCCTATGAAGTAGCACACTGTGTAATACTTGTCAGGTATCATCACTTCCACATTTCAGTTGATGAGTATTTATTGGAACTGTAAGACAGAGGAAGCACACACTAACAGGGAGAAATCTCTCCTATAGGGCTTATTGTGGACATTTGTCATTGTGGGCATTTCTGATCGCCCAGCACCCTTTGAACACTCTTCTAATGTTTGCAAACATGCTCTTTTATGAGTCCCCCTTTCCCAGGTTGAAGCTGAAAGCTGGCTTTCCCAGATTCCCTTGCAGCAAAGGTAGAGATGTGGGGCCTGGATTCCACCAATCAGATGCACTTGCCTGTGACTTTGATTGGGAGATGAGCAGTAGGAGAAAGGAGGCATGCAGAATGTGTTATTTGGCAGGTGTGGCAACGAAGGCGTTGGGCTCTTTAGGGGCATTACTGCCAGAGTTTCTGGCATCCACTCCTGAGCATCACACAGCATGAGCTGGACCCCATCTGTGCAAGTGATGGTGGTGGTGATGGGGGGGTGTGGGCTGACCAGTGACAAGCAGGGGCGTTTGAGCTGTGGTGGCTCCTGCAGGGGATTGGACATTATTCCCAGCTGCTCAGCATCCAAGCCTAGTCTCAAGCCCTCTCAGCTTCTGTGAAATACTTACTAGCCTTTAATTAATTCTTCTTCCTCTTAACCCAGCCAAGGTAGATTTTGTTGTTTGCCACTTAAAACCTTGATAGAAACAAGGAATGAGAGGACATATATATATATATTTTTTTAAGACATAAATTTTGGGATAACTTATAAAAATTGTACCATGAATCTTGGGGAATTTTCTTATGAAAACAAGAAAGGAGGAAAGAAAGAATACAATATAATACTTGTAACCTGGACCTGATTAAAGATCCAATAAATAAGATAAAGCAACTGCAACTCAGTAAAAATAAAGTCATTTTAATATTTATATCTATAAGAAGCATGCTTTCTATAAATAAGGGAGAGATAATTTTAATGTTCGGAACTAGGATTTGAATGTCATATCAGGAAACACTGAAATTTGATATCAAAGAGAAATTTAGCAAAGTACCAATGTTTTAGAAAAGCCAAATAGAAAACTGTTGTTTTTGTCTGATTAGTACCCCATTTCCCTTCGAGTTACAGAATCCCTCTTCATTCTTGGGAACCCTTGAGAAGATAAGAAATAACTGTTGAGAAGGATGGGGCAGGAGGTTATAACATGATAAAATTTTTACAACTTATCCCCAAATTTATGAACCAGGAAGCAGGCTTTCACCAGATACTGAACTGATCACTTTGATCTTGGATGTCCACCCTCCAGAACTGTGAGAAATAAATGTTCACTGTTTAAGTCACCCAGTCTATGGTATTTTTGTTGTAGTATCCCCAATGAATTAAACATTCATGCAGCCCTCACTTCAACGAAACACTGATCTGATTTTTTAAAGTTGCTATAGATAACTTTTAATTTATTCTGGAAATTCAAATAAGTAGAATATAGAGTATGCACCTTCACCCTGGCCACTTTCACCCAGTGTGGTGTTTGCGAAATTCATCCATATTATGTTTGTTTATCAGTATAATTTGTTCCTTTTTTTACCAAGTGCCATTGCATTGTATAAATGTACAATGTTTATTCACCTGTGGGTGGACATTTGGGCTCTTTCCAGTTTGGGCTGTTACTAACTTTCATATATGCCTTTTTATGGACATATGTTTTCATTCTCTTGGGTAAATACCTAAGACTGTAGTTGCTGCTGTGCATTAACCGTTTTTACATATTGTTGGCTTTGATTTTCTAATATTTTATTTAGGGCTTTCATGTCTGTATTCTTAAGGCCAAGGGAAGTCACCATGACTATCATTCAAGGAGGGAAGCATTTAGTCCTTTGCTGGGAGGTTGAGGCAATACTAACCTTTTGGCTCTTTACCTGTGTGGGAGCCATCATAGCAACAGTCCCTTAATCCTAAGCAATGGTTGGTGAAACCAGAATACATATAAACTGGATGGAATCATCCATCACCACAGAAAGAAAGGTACAAGAAATGAATAATATGCCCATGACAATGAGGAGTCATGCTGAGATTTACAGGCCACAGGACTCCATCCTCATAACTAAGTAAACTTGCTCTATGCTCCTTCCAATCTCTGGTTTTGGGGGGTGAATGTACATATATTCTTAGGCAACCAATCTGTTAGTCGATGATCTTCTGATGGAAAGACAGAGACTCCCTAGAGGGAAACTGTACATTTTTGGGAGGCTACTGATATAATTTAAAATGTCAAAAAAAAAAAAAAATGTCATCAGGAGACACACCGTTTTTAGTTGTAGTGGTGTAACCACTATACCACTGTATCCAAAGGTATCCAAAGGGTTCAGAGAAAGTACAGTCGCTCTGAATCCATGGAATTACAGCTATCAACACTGGATCAAATGTCCTCTTTCTTTCTTTTTTTTTTTTAAGATTTTATTTATTTATTTGAAAGAGAGAGAGAGAGAGAAAATGAGCAGGGGGGAGGGGCAGAGGGAGAAGGAGAAGCAGGCTCCCCACTGAGCAGGGAGCCCAATGTGGGACTCGATCCCAGGATTCTGGGATCACGACCTGAGCTGAAGGCAGCCGCTTAACCAACTGAACCACCCACGTGCCCCAAATGTCCTCCTTCTGAAGTGTGAAGTGTCTTGGGAGTGTTACTGCTTTGAAAACTGGCAGGTTCCCAAAAAGTAAAGATTACTTATTCCACAGTAAATAATTTTCTTTGCAAGTTAAGATTTATAATGAATTTACTGCAACTTCTCTTTCCTGTATACTTCTTAAATTCCTGATGGAATCTTTGGCATGTACTGAAGCAACCAGTAAATTTTTAAGAAAGTAATCAATATTCCAAGATGTCTCGTCACAAAATTAGGAATTATGTAAAGATAATTGAGGTAAAAGACAAAGAACACATTGTTCTCCTGACTCATTTCAGTTCCTCCCTGATAATGAATTTTCATGAGCTGCTTGGACTATTGAGGTAAATTGATATTTTAAAGTCTGATTATTTGTGACAGGAGTACAATACTTGTAGGCTTTTGTTTGTATATTTATATTTATACTGAATATCTATGACCAATTGTGAGTAAAATACCTTCTGTTCTTAAATTGCTCATTTAGTGTAGTACTTGCCAAACATCACTTGAATAAATACTATATGTGAAACACAAGTGCTTTATGACTAACCTTTAAAATATTTAATTAAGAAATGGAAGAGCACAATATAAATAGCTTCTATGACTTTGTGGGGAAGGATCTATTAGAGTAATTTTTCTCAACACCTTCAAGAGCTGCCTTTTTTCTTTTAACCGAGTGAATGATATTTTCAAAATATATTGCTTGATTTCCTGCCATCTTAAGCAGAACAAATAGAATATAATCTACACCTTCTACAGGTGATCATTATGCATGTCACTTCACCAAGGGGTGTTGCCCTTGAGGTTTATTAAAGGGCATAGACCAAAGGAGGAGATCAGAAAATGAAGCAGCTCAGCAGTTGGGGGCCATATAGTAAATGATGGGGCCATCTATTAAATGCTTCCTCTCTCCTCCCATTCCCCTCTCTCATACCCATTGACTTCTAATCTATTCATTTAAACTTAGGAAGATTGAGGGTGGAGACAAGGAGCCAGATAACCTTGGTTATTCCCTCACTAACTTTATTTTATATTCTTTCACATTGTTGTTTTGGAGGGGGACGAGGGTGACTCTAAATGTTGTCCTGCATGTATCAAGGGCGTATATTTATAGGCCTTTTTCTCTCATTCCCAGGACAGAGAGCGAGAGAGAGACAGGGAGAGCAGGAACGCAAGCAGGGGGAGTGGGAGAGGGAGAAGCAGACTCCCCACTGAGCAGGGAGCCTGATGCGGGACTTGATCCCAGGACCCTGGGATCATGACCTGAGCCAAAGGCAGACACTTAACGACTGAGCCACCCAGGCACCCAATATATACAATTCTTACTTGTCAATTATATCTCAATAAAGCTGTTGGGGGGGAAGTCCTGTGTACTAAAGTGTAAGAAAAGCATGGATGCCTCTCTTAAGACATGGCTCTTTAACGTTTTTTTCTGTTTGTGTCTTTTCTTAGAAGCAGGTCCTGGGACAAAGATTCAAATAAGCAGGCGAAGGATGCATGGGTAGTGAAGGCAGTGCAGAGTGTGTATGATGCAGCCAGCCACCCTTGTGACCAGCTGGGGAGGGGGGGCGGGCTGGGCCCTGGGCAGACAGTAGAGCGCACGCGCAGTCACCACGACCACCCTCCTGGTCCGCGCGCAGTGCTCGGATTTCCGCCCCCTGCACTTGCCTGCCTGGTGCGTGTGGGGGGCATAGGCGGCCACAGAGAGCCCGCACGTGAAGGGATGCAGTTCCAGGTGAGGTAGAAGTAAGGCACGGTAAAAGACAAACTGCCACATAGTAGACAATTTAAGAGTTCATCTGAGCAGAAATCAACAGGAATCCGGCAGTGCCGACTGAAAAGTAGTCAGGGGCGCTTAGCCACAGACAGGAGCTGGGGAGAGACTTTTACAGAGAAAAGGCGGAAGCAAGGTAAGGAAATGATTGATTGGCTCTAGCTTAAAGCCTAGTTGGCTGTTTGTGACTGGTTGAACTTAGGTTTCAATTTTGTAACCTTCAGGCATTTACAAACTTAGATTTTGGTTTGCTTAGGAAGTTGGCCACAGCATTGAAGCTGCCTATCACGTGGCCTCGTTTAATTAATTTAACAGGTGTCTTGCCCTGAAGTGGCCATGGGGAGGCGGTAAAGGTGCGTCACCCTCAATAGCCACTGTAGATGGAGACCTTGACATGAGAGTGGCCCCTGTGATTTGTAGACTTGCATTTTGAGAACAAATTGGCAACCTAAAGAAAGAGGTAAGCTGAGGGAAGCTCAAATTACCTGAAATTGAGTTTGTTCTGGAACAGTAGAGGAATTGCAATTTGGGAAGCACGAATTGTAGCAAGCTATAGGTGAATCCATTGGGGGTTTGCAGGGGTTTGTATTTATGGGCAAGGAGTGCAAAGAAGGGGGAGTCCAGCCAATAAGCTCATTGGCTTGAAGATAAGGGAGAGATTCTCTCTCTCTTTTTTAAAGATTTTATTTTAAAATCTGCCAGAGAGAGTGAGAGAGCACAAGCAGGGGGAGGGACAGACAGAGGGAGAGGGAGAAGCAGGCTCTCTGCTGAGCACAGAGCCCAATGCGGGGCTGCATCCCAGGACCCTGGGATCATGACCTGAGCCAAAGGCTGACGCTTAACCACTTAACTGACTGAGCCACCCAGGCGCTCCCCAATAGGGAGAGATTCTTGATGGATGTTCAGTGAGATCCATGGATCTCATTGGAGATATATTTGAGTCTTTTGTAAATCAGGCGTTTATGGGAAATCAGTCTCTCGGTTCTTCAAATTTTGTTTTCAATGGCACATGCATGAGACTCTCCATTTCATAAACTCTGGTTCCATCTTAGATTGAAATCCTTTCACAAAATCAAGAGATGGTTGTGAGTTTCCTTTAGCTATATACTAGTATCTAGAAACATTGGTCTGTAATGTTTCTGGAGGAAAAACTCAATTCCTATTAAGTAGATCCACATTGCCTATCTTTTCTGGTTGACTTCCCGAATAAGTTATCCAGCAAATTGTCTAACTCAGCCCTCTACTTTAAAATTATTTAACTACTGCCAATTTGAATGTATTCTGTCTTGAAGAGTCAGCTGCGGTGAGATAAGTGAGGGGTGATTGATTTTCAAGTGTCGGTTTACTCCACTCCCTCAAATCAGATAGTTTTTAAAATTATAGAGTAATGATTCTGAAAAATATTATGTCAAGCACTGCTTATTTATGAAAACTTTATACTGTCTATGGGAGCAGTGAGTACAAATGAACAGGGATTCTGTATGTTGTAGCAGAGAGCTCTTTTTATTGGCTAGCATCTTTTTTGTGTGTGGATCCATTTCTTCCCAAATCCATTTGACCCTCGAGGTATTTCTCAGTGGGGTCTCACATATCCACATACCCTTACAGGGTTGGCATATCTATTAGTTTTTTGTGTCAACTTCACTGAGCCAAGGGGTGCCCAGATTAAGCATTACTTCTAATTGTGTCTGTGAGGGTGTTTCTGGGTGAGATTAGCATTTGAGGCCATACATCCGAGTGAAGTAGACTGCCCTCCCCAACATGGGTGGGCCTCATCCAATCCATTGAGGGCCTGAATGGAACAAAAATCAGAGGAAAGGAGGATTCTTGCATGAGCCAGGACGTCGGTCTTCTGCCCCTGGACTGGGATTTACACCATCAACTCCTGTGGTTTTTAGGTCTGTGCGGTTGGACTGGAACAACACCCCTGGCTCTCCTGGGTCTCCAACTTGCAGACAGCAGATTGTGGGACTTCTCACCCTCAATAGTCATATGAGCTAATTCGTCATCATGAATCTCCACATATATATTATATAACATATATAATATCCTAGTGGTTCTATTTCTCTGGAGAACCCTGACTAAGGCAACATGTGACCGGGGTGGGCCGATCTTAATACACTATTTGGTTGAGCACACAGAAGTGGAAACATGACCCAGTCATGGCCAACCTGTGTGTGTGTGTGTGTGTGAGAGAGAGAGAGAGAGAAAGAGAGAGGTGGGGGGAGAGGAAGTGGGAGAGAGAGGGATGGAAGGAAGGAGAGAGAATGATTATGGATGCTGGGAGAATGAAATTCTCTTTCTGCTTCACTTGCTAATTTGATAATAAAAGACTAGGCATGACTGTGGTCACTCTCTTGACTCCCTTAGGTGGAGAGAGATTCTATGCAGAATGCAACCAAGTAGAGACAAGTAGTGGAGACAAAAAGTCCTGGGGACTTTAGTCCCTAGATCTGGCTGTGCTTGAGCTCAACATCAGGGCCTGTTTTTCTGTGAGCTAATTCCTCTTCCTCTTCTTTCTCTTCCTCTTCAGTTTAGTTTAACTTAGATTTCTAGCACTGGCAGTAGAAAGAGTTCCGACTAAAACACCTACTCAGAACTGGCAAGAAACTGAATATGAAAATGAGAAAATGTATCAGGAAAAATTTTTGAGAAATTAGCTTGATTAAAAATCTCCTTAAATACAATAAAAACTGGGGCGCCTGGGTGGCTCAGTCGGTTAAGCGTCTGCCTTCGGCTCAGGTCGTGATCCCAGGGTCCTGGGATCGAGCCCCGCATCGGGCTCCCTGCTCGGCGGGGAGCCTGCTTCTCCCTCTCCTCCCCACTCATGCTCTCTGTCACTATCTCTGACTTTCTCAAATAAATAAAATCTTAAAAAAAAAAATACAATAAAAACTGATTTGATATCAATCAGCAAGATGTTTTTTGAAACCAGAATAGGTGTGAAATTATGACAAGTTTTCAATGGCTCTTGCATTACAACACCCCTGAGAAAAAAAAGATAGCTAATATTTATGTTTACTTACAGGAAGTTACTCCTAAATATTTTTGTCTCCTGGCATCCAGTTCCAATGAGTTTGTGAAAGCTGGTGAGTAAATATATATACTCTTTTGTAATTTTAGTTCCTATGTGCAACTTTATTTCCAGGGTTAGGGGATTAGGGTGTGAAGTGACTCCCAAACACGAAAAGCATTTCTTGATGTGCAATATTTACGCTGTCCAGTAAATCAAATAGTACTTGTAATTCCTTTGAGAATTTGTCAGAAAGCCTTGAGATTCAGTTGATGTCTGGCCTTGGAAACCTCAAAGGTTCATTATAGGATGGTCAATCTTGTGGCAAATCCCTGTTTTCTCCTAATCACCAAGACCTCTCACTGCCACCAAGCAATGATCTCAGCTATAGTTGCCTTACCTTAAAAGTGATCCACAGTTGTACAGCAAAAATGAATAATCTGTACAGGGGCAGTGGGCTGGAACCTCTTAATGCAGAAGTTCAGAGTTGTATGAGTTCTGCCATTAACATATCCATGGAAACACCTAGGTTGCAAAAAGCAAGGAGGGTCACACAATGATTGAGACAAATCATCTGTTCTCAAACTTTGTTTTCAGGACCCCTTAAACTCTTAAAAATTATGGAAAAATTCAAAGAGCTTTTGTTTATGTGGGTTATATCCACTTATGTTTACAGTATTAGAAGTTAGATCAGGAAGATCTAAGTATTGGGAAGCTTACAAGCACATGGTATAGGATATGAGTTTCCAATATCCTAATTTATATTGAAAGATTAGAGCTTGTAATTGGCAGCAGTTACTGTGCTCTTCTCCTTAAAGTAACTAGAATGTGAAGTGAAAATGTCCACCAAGACACAAATCCAAATAACCATACTTTGCCACTGTTTTTTCTTTCTTTTTTTTTTTTTTTTAAAGATTTTATTTATTTATTTGACACAGAGAGAGTGAGAGAAGAGAGAGCATAAGCAGGGGGAGTGGCAGGCAGGCAGAGGGAGAGGCAGGCTCTGTGCTGAGCAAGGAGCCCGATGTGGGACTCGATCCCAGGACCCCGGGATCATGACCTGAGCCGAAGGCAGACGCTTAACGACTGATCCACCCAGGCGCCCGCCACTGTTTTTTTCAAGACAACATGGTGTTCTATCAAAAACGTGTCTAGTTCAGCTCACAACTTAAATACTCACACAGGTTGTTTTTCTTGAACCAGCGATTGTACTTTGGTATAGAGCAGAAGTGCTTTATGAGAACATAACATAGAATGTTAAAAAGGAGCATACTCAAGGGTTGAGTGTTTTATCAAGGGCATTCTTACGTGAAACTGGCTTTTTTTTTTTTTTTTTTTTCTTATCTGCAAGCACATGGCAATGAATAATACAACGAAGGGTTTGGTGCCACTGCTTTGACCCTGTGGATTCCTTGAAAGGAATTGGGAAACCCCAAAGGATTGCAGACCATACTTTGAGAATCACTGATTTAAGAAATGCCATCATTCTGTCATTCAGAAAAAGCCTTATCAGGCACTTCTGGGCACAAGGGATGTTGTCAGTGAACAAGGAGCTCTGTCTTCATGGAGGTTATTGTCTAGCAGGGTGGGGATAGACAATAGGACAATAGATATAATAAATAGGTAAATTAGGAGATACATTAGGAGATGATAAGTGCTATGGAAATATACAGGAGTACAGCAAGGTAAGTGTGATTGGGAGTGCTCGAGGTGACAAGTATAGCAGGTGGAAATTTTAGACTGATCAGGATAGACCTAATTGCAAAGATGGTATGGAAGCAAAGTCTTTTTTTTAATATTATTTTTAAATTTTAATTCCAATTTAGTTAACATACAGTGTTATATTAGTTTCAGGTGTACAATATAGTGATTCAACACTTACATATAACCACCTGGTACTCATCCTGACAAGTGCCCTCCTTAATCCCCATCAGCTATTTCCCCCATCCCCCACACACCTCCCTTCTGGTAACCACCAGTTTGTTCTCTATAGTTAAGAGTCTGTTTCTTGGTTTGTCTCTCTCTCTCTTTTTCCCTTTGCTCTTTTGTTTCTTAAATTCCACATGTGAGTGAAATCATATGGTATTTGTCTTTCTTTAACTTATTTTGCTTAGCATTATACCCTCTAGCTCTATCCTTGTTGCAAATGGAAAGATTTCATTCTTTTTCATGTCTGAATAATATTCCATTGTGTGTGTGTGTGTGTGTGTGCACCACATACCACATCTTCTTTATCCATTCATCCATCAGTGGACACTTGGGCTGCTTCCATACTTTGGCTATTGTAGATAATGCTGCTGTAAACATAGAGGTGCATGTATCCCTTTGAATTAGTGTTTTATATTCTTTGGGTAAACACCCAGTAGTGTGATTACTGGATTGTAGGGTTCTATTTTAAACTTTTTGAGGACCCTCCATACTATTTTCCACAGTGGCTGCACCAGTTTGCATTCCCACCAACAATGCAAGAGGTTCCCCTTTCTCCACATCCTTACCAACACTTGTTTCTTGCTTTTGATTTTAGCCATTCTGACAGGTGTTAAGTGATGTCTCATTATAGTTTGGGTTTGCATTTCCCTGATGATGAGTGACGTTGTACATCTTTTCATGTGTCTGTTTGCCATCTGTATATTTTCTTTGGAGAAATGTCTGTCCATGTCTTATGCCATTTTTAATTGGATGATTTGTTTTTTTGGGTGTTGAGCTTTATAAGTTCTTTGTATATTTTGGATACTAACCCTTTATTGGACGTATCATTTGCAAGTATCTTCTCCCGGTCTGTAGGTTGCCTTTTAGTTTTGTTGATGGCTTCCTTCACTGTGCAGAAGCTTTTTATTTTGATGTAGTCACATAATTTTTTTTACGTTTATTTCCCTTGCCTCAGGAGGTATAGCTAGAAAAACGTTGCTCTGGCCAATGGCAGAGACATTACTGCTTGTGTTCTCTTCTAGGAGTTTTATGGTTTTAGGCCTCACATTTAGGTCTTTAATCTATTTTGAATTTATTTTTATTTATTTATTTATTTTAAATATTTTTTTTTAAAGATTTTATTTATTTGAGACAGAATGAGAGAGAGAGAGAGCACATGAGAGGGGAGAGGGTCAGAAGGAGAAGCAGACTCCCCGCCGAGCAGGGAGCCCGATGCGGGACTCGATCCCGGGACTCCAGGATCATGACCTGAGCCGAAGGCAGTCGCTTAACCGACTGAGCCACCCAGGCGCCCCTTGAGTTTATTTTTGTATATGCTGTGAGAAAGAGGTCGAGTTTCATTCCTTTGCATGTATCTGACCACTTTTCCCAACACCATTTGTTGAAGAAACTGTCTTTTCACCATTGGATATTCTTTCATGCTATGTTGAAGATTAACCAACCATATAATTGTAGGTTTATTTCTGGGTTTTCTATTCTGTTCTATTGATGGATGTATCTTTTTTTGTGCCAGGACCGTACTGTTTTGATTACCACAGCTTTGTAATGTAACTTTAAGTCTGGAATTGTGATACCGCCAGCTTTGCTTTTCTTTTTCAAAATTGCTTTGGCTATTTGGGGTCTTTGGTGGTTTCATGCAAATTTTAGGATTGTTTGTTTTAGTTCTGTGAAAAAAGCTATTAGTATTTGATAGGGATTGCATTAAATCTATAGATTGTTTTGGGTAGTATAGACATTTTAACAATATTTGTCTTCCAATCCATGAGCATGGAATGTCTTTCTATTTCTTTGTGTTGTCTTGGATTTCTTTCATTGGTGTTTTATAGTTTTCAGACTATAGGTCTTTCACTTCTTTGGTTAGGTTTATTCCTAGGTATCTTATTATTTTGGTGTAATTGTAAATGGGATTGTTTTTTTAATTTCTCTTTCTGCTGCTTAATAATTAGTGTATAGAAATGCAACAGATTGCTGTATGTTGATTTTGTATTTGAGGATAGACTCTCCAGGACAAGGAAAGAAAATGGGGATTAATTAAGAGACTTGTGCTTTAAGCTGATGAAAGATAACTGTGCTGGGCCAGGTGTGGAACAGGCAAGAAGAGGGAACCAGTAGAACTTGGTTTTGATACAGAGTGTAAGAGAGAAGTCAAAGGTAACTTCAGAATTTTTGGTCTGAGTGTAGTATATCTCGTACCCAAAAATTAACTCAAAATTTACCATAGATCCATGTATAAAATTATAAAACTTTTAGAAAAAAACACAGAAGAAAATCTTCATGACCCTTGTGTAGGTAAAGAGTTCTTAAACATGACACCAAAAGCATGATTCATAAAATAAAAGTTCTATACATTGGACTTAATCAGAATTAAAAATTTTGCTCTCTGAAAGACACCATTCAGAAAATGAAAATAGAGATGTCATGATCCCAGGGTCCTGAGATTGAGCCCCACTTCGGGCTCTCTGCTCAGTGGAGAGTCTGCTTCTCCCTCTGCCTGCCACACCCTCTGCTTGTGCGCACTCTCTCTCTGTCAAATAAATAAATAAAATCTTAAAAAAATGAAAATAAAGTGACAGTATGGGGAAAATCATTTACAAATTACATATCCCAAAAGGATATTTATGTATGTGTACATACACACACATACTCTTTAAACTCAACAGGAAGAAAACAAACAAGTTTGAAAATGAGAAAAAGATTTGAACAGATACTCCCACAAAAAATGGCAAATAAGCACATGGGAAGATGCTTAACATCATTAGCCACTAGGGAAATGCAAATTAAAGCCACTATGAGATGCTACAGTGTATGTATTAGAATGCCTAAAATAAAAAATACAGACAATAGTAAGTGCTGATAAGGACGTGAAGAACTGGGTCTCAAAATGGCATGGCTACTCTGGAAAACAGTTTGGCAGTTTCTTTCTTTCTTTCTTGTTGTTTTTTGTTTTTATTTAAATTCAATTAATAAACATATAATGTATTATTAGTTTCAGAGGTAGAGGTCAGTGATTCATCAGTTGCAGAGAACACCCAGTGCTCATTACATCAAGTGCCGTCCTCAGTGCCTATCACCTGGTTACCCCATCCCCCCACTCACCTCCACTCCAGCAACCCTCAGTTTGTTTCCTATGCTTAAAAGGCTCTTAGG